TGTGCGGAAGGTGGCGCCTGCGTTTCTCACAAAGGACCTTTTAATGTGTGTGAAAAATATGCGTTTTCACACCTTGTCCGTGGGTGACTGTGGAAATGCTGACTTCCGGGCTTCGCCATTCAGCGCTGCTTAAGAGCGTTCCTAAAATGGGATCGTGCGCTGCACAGCAACATGGATGGACCTCAGGGTGATCATACTGAGTGAGGTCGGTCAGAGAAAGACAAACACTATCTGATGGCACTCATACGTGGAACCAAAAAAAAAAAAAAGATACAAATGAATCTACATACAAAACAGAAACAGAATCACAGACATAGACAACAAACTTATGGTTACGAAAGGGGCAAGGGGGTGGGAAGGGATAAATTAGGACTCTGAGATTCGCAGATACACACTACCGTATATAAAATAGATAAACAACAAGGACCTGCTGTGTAGCACAGGGAGCGATCCTCAACACCTTGTAATAAACTATGATGAAAAAGAATATATACGTATAGCTGAATTACTATGCTGTGCACCAGAATTAAATCAGTAACAAAATTAGCTGCATAGGAAGCCTCATGTTGCAAGATATGTGTGTGGCTATGTTTGTAAAGGGGGTGGGGCATAGGAAGAGAAGACAGCCAGCAACACTTGTCCCACACTCAAGGCTGGATGGCAGCAGCAGAGCTGCCTCAGAAGTTGTCTGCCCGTGGCCTGACTGTCTTTAGAAAGACCATGCCTGCTTCATTTATCGGAGGTCTTAATATGTTTAGTAACTTTCACAGGGCGATGAAGATCAAGTCCAGACTCTTTCATGCAACAGCCAAGGGTCTTCGTGGTCTGGTCCAAGCTCTCCCCATTCCTCATCTTCTGCTCCCATCACCCCCAACCTGGAACCATATGCCGTAACCATGCTTAACTGTTTATTTCCTACAACACTGAGGGTCTTTTGGACTTCTAGCATCTGATTATGCTCCATTTTCTGCTGCGCAGTTGACAGGTGGTGAATCACGGGTTAAAAAAAAATCTTTTAACCCAGGTTCCAGATTTTTTTTTAATTGAAGTAGAGTTGATTTACAATATTGTGTTAGTTTCAGATGGACAGCAAAATGATTCAGTCATACACAGACATATTACTTTTCATATTCTTTTTCATTATAGGTTATTACAGAATATTGAATAGAGTTACCTCTGCTTTACAGTAGGACCTTGTTGTTTATCTATTTTATATATTGTAGTTGTATCTGTTAATCCCAAACTCCTAATTTATCCTTCCTCCCACTTTCCCCTTTGGTAACCATAGTTTGTTTTCTATGTGTGTGACTCTCTTTCTGTTTTGTAAATAAATTCATTTGTGGTTTTTTTTTTAAGATTCCACATATAAGTGATATCATGTGGTATTTTTCCTTCTCTTTCTGGCTTACTTCACTTAGAATAATGATCTCCAGGTCCATCCATGTGGCTGCAAATGGCATTGGTTTTTTCATGGCTGAATAGTATTCCATTGTATAAAAATACCACAACTTCTTTATCCAGTCATCTGTCAGTGGACATTTTAGGTTGTTTCCATGTCCTGGTTATTATAAATAGTGTTGTTATCAACACTGGGGAGCATGTATGTTTTTGAAGTAGAGTTTTCTGTGGATCATATGGTGGCTCGATTTTAGTTTTTTAAGGAAGCTCATACTGTTTTTCATAGTAGCTACACCAAATTAAATTCTCAGCAGCACTGGAGGTGGGTTCCCATTTCTCCACACCCTCTGCAGCATAACACTGAATTCTCAGCGAATAAGTGTGTTGATGGATGAATGAATGAAGCTTAACACTTTAAGGTCTTTGACTCCTTTGAGAATCTGATGAAAGATAAAGACCGTCTTCCAAGTAAGAAGCACTTTAGAAATATATCACCAAGCACTGCTGACCATCTCAGGGAATCCATGGGTCTCCTGACGTCCAAGTGTCCATTCCTCTGTGGCCACCGGCATGAGAACAGAGAACATCATGACAGAACGATGCTCTTTTGTTCCTTCTTTTTCTTTAAAAAAAAAAGTGAAGCCTTTTAATAGCAGTCCCGTACTTCGAGTGGCTGCTCCAGAAATGATTCAAAGAGCAGTTCATTTCACACTGACCCAGTCAAAATATTGATTGCGAGCGAGGAAGGAGGCTCGGGTGGGTTAATGAAGCCACGGGGTAAACGGATTGTGTTTCGAGAGAGAAGTGTAACTGGCATACCTGCGGACTGCAGAATCAAATGTGTTCCTGTTTCTCTGTTTCTTGCCAGGAAAGAAGCTTCTGGAAGCTGCACTGAATGGTAAGGCGTAACACGCATAAGGGTCCTTACTATGTTTAGGTTAGAAAGCCTTGTGTTCCGGGTCCAGGCCGCCCCCAGAACGCTTTGTGAGTGTGCTGTTAAAATGCTGCTGGTGCTTGAGGGTCAGCCAGGTGGACACACCTGAGTTGGGAAAACCCTATAAAAGCAAGGGGTTTGGGGATCAACATGATCTCAGCCCTCAATCTGCGGAAACTGAGAGCATTCCGCAGAAAGTTAAAAGAATGAACACCTGTCCTATTCAGACTGGCTGTGAGACAGTCAAGCAATTGTTTAATACTCATTCAGAAACGCTGCACACATTCCGTGATTATATTGTTATATTACATAATTGCCTCTAGGTGATTATATAATTAAAGGTGAATGTATTCATTCACCCATTTAAAAAATAACATGTTATGAGTTCCTCAAAGAAATAGAGAATAAAATTAAAACTTCCCAAAGCCTACCATGCAGACGTAACTTTGTTTAACTTTTTTTGTGTGTCTATTTGATTTACACTGTTGGTGTTAAGTTTATGGTGTGCAGCACAGTAATTCGGTCATGTGTGTATTTATATATTCCTTTCCATATTCAGTTCCATTATAGGTTGTTACAAGGTATTGAATATAGTTCCCCGTGCTCTGCAGTAGGACCTTGTTGTTTAGATGTAGTAGTTTGTATCTGCTAATCCCAAACTCCTAATTTATCCCTCCCCCTGCGACCATAAATTTGTTCTCTGTGTCTGTGAGTCTGTTTCTGTCTTGTAAGTGAGTTCATTTGTATCATTTTTTTTTTAGATTCCAAGTATCACTGATATTATGTTTAATGTTTTCCATCGATGTTCTATGCTTCATCAGTGCCAGTGGTTCTCAACCAGGAATGATTCTGACCTCCAGTGGGGAAACCCATGTGCAAACCTCAGGGTCTGGAGACCTTTCTGGATGCTGCATTGGAGAGGAGAGGGTGCTCCTGGCATTCGGTTGGTGGAGACCAGGGCTGCTGCTCACCCTCCCACAATACACAGGACAGCCCCCTCCACAAAGGAGTTTCTGGCCCCCAAATGCCCACAGCAACTGAGGCTGAGAAACCCTGATGTATACACATGGGTTTGACAGTGTTGGGGACCTATTTCAGATCAACCATGATGAGAGGTAGGTGTTTTGATAAATAGTTCTCATGGTTAATTTTATGAATCAACATGACTGGGTCCCAGGGTGCCCTGAAAGTTGGCTAAACATTATTTATGGGTTTGTCTGAAAGTGTGTTTCTGGAGGAGGTGAGGGTTTGAGTTGATGGACTGAAAAAAACAGGTGGCCCTTTCCATGTGGGTGGGCCTCGTCTAATCAGAGGAAGATGAGAATATAACAAAAACTTGGAGGGAGAATTCTCTATCTATCTGTCTGTCTATCTATCTATCTATCTATCTAT